TTGGCTGGATAATTGATAGCCTAATTTCCGTTCACATCAAATTAACTAGGCCATCTACTCTACTAAGGTCTATTACATAGCATGGAGATGGGGTGGGGGCGGGGCATGAGTTTAGAACCGCCCCACAGTTCCGCCCACCAGTAAATGCCTCTGATTGGTCATCCACTAACACTTATCATCTGCATCTTTAACATACTCTATAGCTGCTAATGGGAGTGAATGATTGAGAAATGTGTCAGTGTTCCTCATTATCTCTCACTGCCTCCGCAGTGCTGTTGATTAGTGGAGGTCTGACACGGCTCATGTTGAGCATGGAACAGCAGCAGGCTGTTCAGAGTCTGCCTGGCTGACTGGCCCTCTCCTTCCCTACTGCTGTAAATAATTAATGATCCATATCAGTGCCTCCCCGGCCCTGTTGTGGGCTATGCCCTGTTCACTGCACCAGCTGTGACCTGCTTAAAGCGCAGGGGCTTCCAGAAGCTGGTCATGCTACATTCATGTTGAACTGTTTGTGTGGCTCTAATTAGCAAAACTTAACTAGGTTAAAGTAGCTGATTGTGGCCCGCCTTTATGAGTCATTCATTAATATTAAACAAGCCAAGTTTTATGATTTGACCCATGTTTGAACAGTAACAGATGCGTTTTTGATTGGACCGTTGATTGATTACTCTTTGCTGCTTCTACAGTGTATGTAGTATGTAGCATTAGTGGTTGAGGAGTTAGCTAGACAGAATACTTATATTTTCACTATTTAAGATTACATAGGAAAGCGATGTGCTCATTTTAGAAGCTTATTACTAACTAGTATCAATCCGGTTTACTTCATAACTTCAAAAGCAGCGCAAGAACTTTGCTTGACCTTTAACCTTTAATTTTATTTTAGGGTTGCACAATATATTGATCTAAGTGTTGTTTTAGTTTTAGATTTAGTTAAAAATAACAACTGAAATAAAATATATATTAGATGAATAACTTTGTTTAACGTAGCTCGTAGTAGCATAAACAAACATTTAAAATATTGCCTTGGCAACTAACTGAAAGATAGATGGCTGTTTGGCAGATTGATATTACATGTAATTGTTTGTTTTTTTTGCATCAGTTGATATTGGACATTTATTTATATATTTATTTTTAATGTTAATTTCCTCCATTTTTACATTAGATTATTCTCACTTAATCTTGAAAACACTAATAATATAATAAATCTCAAAATGAATATTTATTTTCCATGCTGTGTATTAAAATGTTGTGTTTAATAAATTGTCTCTCAATTCGCTTATATAATTTAAAATGATTTTATTTTTAATTTATGGCAAATAGTATACAATTTGAATCTGCCTTTTATCAATTATCAGTCATAACATGAAAAAATGTATTGTCTTATCAATGATGGTCAGAATTATAATATCAGGAGACCCATGATTTTTATTATGTATTATTATGTGTAATACTAGTGCTAGATTTCTCAGCAGATTCCACGTATTTCTGTGCATGCATATATTTAAAGCAGTGAGGTTTATTAGACACATGTCTCTCACCGGGAGTTTTAACACAAGCCGGTCACCATACCACTAGTCATCATGGAGTTCTGTGTGGGGGTATCTGGATATCAGACACCTCTGACTGTCTCCCCCTGCCTTAGGGGACATGAACATCTCTGACTCATTCTTGAGCGTATGTGGGTGATGCACGCAGCTTGCGGGACATCTGCTAACTGTAAACCTGTCAAAACTCTGTACACTGGCACCAGTGTACAGAGTACCATACATTAACTCTGTTTTACATTATTTTCACTTACATTATCGAAGAGAATTTCATCAACAACCCATTAAGGAAACGTAATTGCTTCTAACTTGAGGGAGGAAAAGAAAAGGAAGAAAGTGTCTCTTTCCTTTTCAAGCATGCCCACTCAGTAGAGATCTTATCAGTCACTTCGAGCCTGTGGTTTCATTACGGTGTCCTCCTAGCCTGACGGCATTTGGCATCTCTGTAAAAACTCCATTCAGATATAGCAGTTGAACACTAGTGTAGCAATTCCTGATAATAGAAACATATTAGAGTATCTGCAAAGATCCGAGAGCGATCGTTATCGGCACTGTATTAAAAGGTGTTTCTGAGTGTGATTTATGATGGTGGTTCTCAACTAGTGGTTCACTGCCCAGAAATGGCTTGCTGGTCAGTTCTGATCCCAAACAACAGGACAAATGCAACTAACCATGTAACTTTGTACAATCAGGACTGCTAAATCAATTTAGATGTAAACATATAAGAGATAAAATACTATAAAATATTTTGTTGTTGACATCAAAGGTCGCAAGTCCAGTCTAGTGTTGTCACTTTTGTTTTTGTTTTATTTATTTATTTGTAGTTTGCTTATGTTCCATTTTAAATTGTTTTAGATTATTTTTTATTTCATTTAATTTTGTTTGATTTTATTTTTGTTTCTTTTAGTTTTTGTTTATTGTTTAGTCTTATATTATTTATTTTTATTGCAGTTTAGTTTTTTGACAGTTGTTTTGTTGTTGAAGTTAAAGGCTGTAAGTTCAATCTAGTGTTGCCACTTTTTTGTTTTGTTTTGGGTTTAGTGTGTTTGTTTTAATTTGTTTTTGTTAGTTTAATTTTGTTTTGTTTGTGTTATTTTATTCTGTTTACTTTTTGGTTTTTGTTTTGTTTTGGTTTAATTTCATTTTATTGTCAATCTTAATTTTAGTTTAGTTTTATTTATTTATTTATTTTTATTTCTTGTCAGTATTGCTGTGTCGTCATGTCTTTTAATTGAATCAGTGCTCTGTAATACTGGTAGTGCAGACTAGTTTCAAAACTGGTTGAGAACCGCTAATTAAAGAATTTGTTTTACCACCATACTTGCAAACTTTGATTTCGTACATCTATCACAAAGCTGCTTGGCGCTGCCTCTATTGTATCAGATATTTGGTATTCTTAATCTTTTGCACTTTGGTCCCCTCCATCTGTGTTAAATCCTCTCCAGCCAATCGGATTGTGTCAGTTAGCAGGAAAAGCTGATGGCATTTCAAAGCCACCTCTATAATCACTAGCTACCATGTCTAATGTTCGACGCCTCTCATTATGGTGATTGTCCGTGGTTTCAGTCCGAAACACCTCCCTTACTGCGTGAAAGTCCCCTGCTGCCTCTGAGAAGCTGCTATTAACAATTGATTGAGTTATGTGTCACATGACAGAGAACTAGTTATATATAGTAAGGCTGTAGAGGTTGAAGTGGCTCTGTTGTCTTGGTATGAAGAAAAACTGTGCACCTGACAGCTGGACGCTTGAGTGTTTCCTATGGTTTGAGAGTGTAGGAAATGCATTTCTGCATATTTTATGCCAATACCAGCGAAATTGTATGATTATCCATACCATGATACTTGGTGCATTGATACTCTATATAGTTTTCTATTTTAGCATTGGCTAATGCTGGGTATACACTACATGATTTTCATCAGATCGCTGTTCCTCTGAAATTTCCTTTGCCCTGTATCTTGCTCTCTCATTGGCTATAGGTCATCGCTGATGTCGTTTCCAGTCAAAGCACATTTCACACTGCAAAACTCTGTTGTCCAGATATTTAGATTTATAAATACTATTACTTTCAGATCGTTTGTTTGATGATACTAGAGCTTCCCCCCTAATACTCGACTAAAGGCTTGGTCGACTTTTTTTTTGTATACATACATTTAGACTAACTTGTAATATTATAGTATATTATATTCATTTTGTAAGAAATTAATAGTTTTATTCAGTAAGAATCCATTAAAATCATCAAAATTAACAGCAAAGACATTAGTAATGCTATAAATGATTTCTATTTCACATAAATGCTGTTGTTTTTATATTTTTATTCGTGACAGACTCCTGGGGAAAAAAAGGGTTTTGCAATTTCCACCTAAAAAAAAACAACAAAAAAACAACAGTACTAGATGATGGAAATGTACTCGTTTTCTCTCTCTCAAGAGAATTCCCAATTTTCATGTCAAGGGTGGTTCTATAAGGCACACAAAAGTGAATAGAAAGTGAAACTACATATTGTAGTACGTGTTGGAAAGATAAATGGCTCCGCTTGTGTCTGTATTTGTTGGGGCTTGTTAAATGAAAATTTGCATGCTCAACAGTCTTTTTGTGATGTACAGTATACGGCACATTGTGTTCTCTCACTCGCTGACCCCTTACTCTCTCTTTATTTCTCACCAATCTCAATCTCTCTTACTTTTGTGTTACTTCCACTTTCCTTTCATCGCTCTAACCTCTCTTTTCTCTCGCTCGCTCTCAGGGGACACCCATTGTCGCACAATATAATTGAATCCCTTTTTCGTTCCATTTTCTCTCATTTTCATTTTCACAGACCTCCTTACGCCTTCCAGCATCAACCCACATCTTCAGTATATGACCTCTGACCACAACTCCTAAGCCTTCTCGCTTTTAATTATCTCTAATTAGTAATGAAATTTTTCAGTCCTTGTAAAGAGCCGTTTAAGACCGTATTAATTGATAAGAATTTATTTTAGAGATTTTTGAAATGCAAGCTGCCAAGATGTTTTCAGGCACACGCAGCCAAACCCAAATTAAAAAAAAAATAAAAAATTCCCCAAAATCCTTAGAAATCCCTTTTAGAGTCATTTCAACCACAAGCACCTGATAGATGACTGATAGATTCCACATGAATCTCTCTCAGAAGAGCTGTTTGGCTTGTTTGCAAATCACCAGGTGCTCAAATTTTTGACATTATGATGTTTAACTGCATGTGTTTGAACTGTTAAGCAGACCTAAATCTACTGGCTTTCTCGAAACGCATTAGAAATAGTTGGCACAGTGTGTTGTTGTTTAACCTGTTTAGACATTTTTTTTTTTATTGGTCCACCTCTTTAAATGCTGCAATGAAGCCTAAATATAAATATAAGTGTGTTCGTTTGTCAAGCCTGCCTACAGATGAAGTGTCTTTTGAGCATTTTCTGAATCTCTTATGTTAACATTGTCCCCAATAGGTGATATGCATTGAGGATGAGTGCTGTCGGGGAAAACTCGTCGGACCCTGCCAGGTCAGAGGCTCAAAAGCGCAAGGAATGCCCTTCAGACCTCCTGGGTCCAAGGTACTTCACCTAGACACGGCACGCAAACCAGTAGACAAATGAACAGCAGGTTACGGTGAACTCTGAAACTGCGGTTTGTATGTATAGCAGAGTGAATTTCTCAGTGTCTACGCTATTAACCGCTGAACTGCAATAATCTTGAGCAGGCCTCCCACCAGTGGAGCTCAGCCTAGATAATACATGTTTCTATATAAAACCCTTTTCCACTGAGTCAGGAAACATCAGTCTGTATAATTCATTCATAGGAAGGAGCATGCCTATGCATGCCTTGTTTATTGACAAAATTTTCTGTGCAAACTGCTGAAGATGCAGAGCAGCAAATTGAAAATACAGCCTGTTTAGGGCTGCACAGAAGAAGCTCTGGGAAGTTTTGTCTATTTCTGTGTATTGCTTTTGCTGTTGAGGATTGTTTAGATTTTTTTAGGTATTTGTTTGATCCTAATGTCATAAAGCATCATGTTTCAGGAATATGCAAAATTGCATATCATCAGAATTGACTAGTCATTGGGTTGTGTGAAAACTGTTAACATAGACAAACTTGAAACGGCATCTTAAATGCAATTTATCGTCCAAAGACACCCATAAGCATGTGTACAACATTTAAAAATATCATAGACTGAATAAAAGAATGCGCAGCCCTCCTGAATTTTCAACAAATAATGAAACGAAATGTCTGTAACAGTTTTTTTGCAGAAAAGTAAAAAAAAAAAAAAAACTCGTTTTCTCAGTTATTGTTAAAGTTGCAAATTTGTTACAAAAATGTTGCGATGGTATATCCTAAAAGAAAAATATGCTTATTAATTTTTTTCTTTTTCTCTGCATCTTTGCCAAAATAATAGATAAGTACAAGCTGAAACTAACAAACTGAGGAGGCCATGATATTTTTCACTTAAGCAGTACACATAAAGCATGTACTGGGTCTGACTGACAAGTTTTATTCTTGCGTTTTAGTCTTAATCATTTTTTGTTTCTCTTCACAGTCCCAAACGAAGCACTGAGAAACGTAACCGGGAACATGAAAATAAATACATAGAAGAGCTCGCAGAGCTGATTTTCGCAAACTTCAATGATATCGACAACTTCAATGAAGTTGTTTTCTCAGTTATTGTTAGTTGCAAATTTGTTACAAAAATGCTAATGTTGCGATGGTATATCCTAAAAGAAAAATATGCTTATTAAATTTTTTCTTTTTCTCTGCATCTTTGCCAAAATAATAGATAAGTACAAGCTGAAACTAACAAACTGAGGAGGCCATGATATTTTTCACTTAAGCAGTACACATAAAGCATGTACTGGGTCTGACTGACAAGTTTTATTCTTGCGTTTTAGTCTTAATCATTTTTTGTTTCTCTTCACAGTCCCAAACGAAGCACTGAGAAACGTAACCGGGAACATGAAAATAAATACATAGAAGAGCTCGCAGAGCTGATTTTCGCAAACTTCAATGATATCGACAACTTCAATGTCAAGCCTGACAAATGTGCAATCCTAAAGGAGACCGTCAAACAGATTCGTCAAATTAAAGAGCAAGGTAAGAAAACCAATGAATTCTTCTTTGAACTTACATTATTACCTGTCTTACCTATAAATCTTCAATTAAAATACAAAAAAAGCTCCCTACGTATTAACTCTCAGGCTTGAAAACAACCTGCACATAGTGTTACATTCACTGAGCATTTGCATAGTCAGACTAGAAATTATTAGTAGCTAACACAAGACACATGTAGGCTTTTTCAGGTTGTTTAGCAAAATATATGGCCTGTCTAGAGATCCTGAGAAAGAACTTTGTCAAATCAGCCATCGATTCCAGATTGGCTTTAAGCAGGAGCCTACGTGGATTAACATCATGCTAACTGCAAACATGCACTGATGTGAAACACGTGCTATGTGGCTTTCATTTCTCACTGCATTAAGAAAAAATACAGAAACCAAACTCAAGATTTAATTAGAAGTCACAGCTTCATTACTTCATTACTTTTCTACATATGTGTTTTATTTTAAAGTTGTCTCGAGTTATCAGGGATGTTTGATTCAGAATTAATTTGTGTGTCTTTGTTGCCAAAATTATTACGCGCAGGTTTTGGATCCAGGTGCAGTGCTTGTTAAAATGTTATGATTTTAGTTACTTGAAAAGTTATGGGGATCAATTTTATCGTAACTTCTGAGAAGAAGCTTAACTGAACCTCAGAGTCCCTCCCCTATTGATGGATATCATATATCTCATCCTTGCTCTTCCTGCGATGAGAAATTTCTTGAATAAACTTCTTGGAAATTTTCATTATGGCACAATCATTAATATAGACTGATACAGATTTAAATGAATCATAAGATTGGCTTACTCCTGCAGTGTTTTTCTGCTCAAATTAACATCTGTGTTGTTTTCAACCGTTGAGACTTGGTGCTGTTTTGACGTGTGTGTGTCTGCATTGATTCAGACTGGGCTGTGATGGAGATTATTTGTGATGTACTGAGCTCTGGGTTATGTAATCCTGAGCAATGTGATGCAAAGCTAACGGAGCGATGGTCGCCATCTGCTGCGTCGTCCCTTACCCCTCCTTCACCTCCCCTCCGCTACGCTCGATGCCACACGGCCACAGCTTCACACACTGCTCTAACTGTGCTTGTACAGTCTCAAACTACCTCCAAAGACACAAATGGGCCTGTTTTGCCTGTAAACAAGGCCTCAAGTATAGAGCGCAGCAGTCAGCTTTCCTTGTAAAGGAAGCACAACATTATTGGTCACTCACAGGAAGCCCTTTAAAGCAGAAGCTGCTTTCTGCTAAAAATCGTTTTAAAGGCTCACAGTTCTGTTCCTCACCAAATGTTTTTTGTTAAATATGAAACATTTAAAAAGTCACTGTCATTGAGGTAGTTTAGGGATTTTAGTGTGTGCTGGGAAAAATATTCCCTTATGTGTAATTTAAGTCATTATTGTTTACTGCTTGTTAAACTGATGATGAATGCTAGCATTTAAAGGGATAGTTCACCAAAAAATGTTACCTTCATTTTCCTAACTCCAAACCTGTGTGACTTTTTCTTACACAAATTGAGATGTTAGGTAAAATATTAGGAATTGACATCCTCAAAATGTGCTCACGTTATTGGAATTTTGTGAAATCTCGCAGGCAAAAATTGCCCGTTGTCGGTAGTGTAGAGACCAACTTGAATCCATGTTAAATCTCTGTGGGGAAAAATTGTCACGCTCATGCAAATTTCCAGATTATGTGGATTCCTACTGAAATGACAGGATTCCGATTGCGAAAATTCGCTGAACAACAGCAAATTTTTTCCACACAGTGAAAGTAAATGGTCAACTAAACTGTCAGTCTACCTAAAATCTCCTTTGGGTTCCACAAAAAAAAATAATTCTTTAAAACAGTGTTTACATTTTGAAAAAGTGTAGTGATTATTGCCAGGGTGTTGCTAAAGTGCTATGAGTAACCGCATTACTACGCGGTTGCTAGGGTGCTGTGGGTGGTTGCTCAGATTCCTAAGAGTCCACCTCCAAATCTCTAGATTCCTTTCCATAGATATGACTCGGATCCTTCCTTCAGTGTGAGAATATTATATTATCCATCAGGTGAATATCGAAAATCCAATTGCCTAGCAAAATATTAGCGCACCTTTCCTCAGTAAATTGTGATTTGAGGTATAATTCACAGTACAAATGGTGCAATATAAGTATGAGCAATAATAATAGTGATGCTATTATGCTAGCTATGCTAGCAAGCATGACTAATAAATTGCAGCAGTGAGCAGTTTCCTTACTCTTTGCATAGAAAACACAATATGTTGGACATTTATCTGTAAAGGGTGTTTTTAGTCTGTAGTTCATCTGCTACACATTTAAACCCCAAACTGGAGTTTGAAAACTGGATTATGTTTAATTACATGTTTAATTTATTCATTAGTGAGTCAGCGCTTATAAATTTAGAGACTGAACAACACCCAGTAGATGACGAGATATGGAATTCTCCCGTGGAGAGTCATGACCTAGTATCTATGATCAGGCTGTGCACTGATTGGTTGAGAGCAGAGTCATGGGCGGGGTTTTGAATTGTGACTGATAGGGCAGATCCTAAAGGCTTCAAGAAACTCCATTTGCTGTTGAAGTAAATGATATGGCCTGATTCACATCCTTTCTGGAGATAACACAGCCTTTTCTTTCTGTTTGATGGGGATTGGCTGATGGAAAGGAAACCGTTTTAGAGCCGAGTTTGAAATGAGAGAGGGAATGAGTTATCACCGGACCACTGGTGCAGCTGTGCTGGTTTACCATTCCCTGCTGGGCACCGCAAAGACCTGCTGACACAAAACACGCTCACATCCACTCATCATCAGGAGTGTACGCATGCGTATGTCTCCCAGACCCACACACACACACACACGCACATATACGAGAAGAGCAGCGTTTGGAGCATCCCAGAACGGTCTGAGGGGGAGGCTGATGGATGGCCCTCTCTCTTTGCCATATGGCTACCCATCATGCCAGCACAGTTTGCCTCTCTATCGTGTCCTCTGCGAGCCCACTGCAATCCCGACTACTCTCTTTAATGGTTGGGAACAGACAGGAAGTTAGTTTGGTCTAGGGAATTGTGGGATTAAGGATGTTACTAATGGCAGAAATTGTTAGTGTTATTTTAGTATTGTTTATATGCTAATACATTGTTTTGAATTTGCTTTTATTTTTATATTCACTTATTTCAGCTTCATTTTGGTTGAAGTTTCATTGATTTGTGGTTTTTGTCATATTTTGTTTCACAGACAAGGCTTAAGCCTAGTCCTAGACTAAAATGTAAGTCTGAGCTGTTTATATCAGTGCCTTTGTTTTGTCTCAAAAAGCACACCAGTAATGTTTTTATCTAAGGCACACACTTCAGAAAATGCTTTATTACATCTCACATCCTTCATAAATAGTGTAATTTAGAGTTTAGCCACTTTCCCCACATTATTTTCATCTCTGGGTCAATCATCACCCCAAAAAGAGCAAATTAATATAATAATTACAATATTTAAGATTTTTTCTTTATGTAGTGACTTGATTTAATAATTAAAATAACAATGAAACAAATGTTATTTTTTTACAATAACAATACAAAAATAATTTGTGCTTGTCATGAAAACAGTTTACTTTCATTTTTAGCATAATTTAGTAATTAAAACATTGCAAAAAATATTTTACCCTAAAAATAGTAAAATAATAATATTGCATAAATTATTATTATTATTATTATTATTATTATTATTATTATTATTTGTGAACGTGTTCTTTCAGAGATTTTTCAGAGACCAGTTTTCCTTCTAGATTTAGCTCCATTATGAGTGCTTTTGCTTTGCAGGCGATGTTGTTTACAAATCATGTCACTTTGTTGGAGACAGTGATGTTCTCCATTCTTTATATAATGGTTTGTTTGGCGTCGGTGTGTGAGCGCATGTGTGTGTTGACCGTTCCATTCATGTCCGGGCTGTTGGCTGCATGGCTGTTATGTGCGGCTTCACATGCACCCATTTAGCCTGACAGCTTCTGTCTCACGCGTTGCTAAGGTCCGGATGTATGCCATAACAACATGTCTCAACAAGTGCTTGGCAGTATGAAAGAGTGAGAAAGGGGTTTAAAAAGGTGCGTGAGTGCAGTATGAAATTAAACGCTTTAGTGAGCAGAGAGGGAGAGAACTGCCCTTTCAAGAAATGCTAATATGCTCAAACTAGCAGGACCACATGAAGTGTCTTTAATGTAATTTGAAAATTAAACACTTAAACTCTGCAGGATCTAATGTTGGGTTTTAGGTTCTTTTATGGAAATGTTGATGTTTCCAACCGAGAACTGAGTTTCTGACCAAATTAACCGTATTCACTTAGAAGGGGAGAGCGGGTAAGCAGTGCCAATTTTTGCTTAACTTGTCCTTTATTCAAGGAGAAAGGAGAATGAGGTAAAATTAATGTGCCTAATTATATTCCAGGATGTTTGCTATCAACTCAAATGAGAAGAAAGTGTCTATAACTAAAGGCAAAAGAAATATGACCTTTCAAAAAACGGTGAGCAAGGGGTTAGTTGAATCATTGGAGAAGCAATTTGAGCAATGTATGTGCAATGTATTTCAAATAAAAATATGAACATAAATGAGAGGGAAAAAACCTTTGATAATGTACTGTTGAATTCCAAAGAGTAATTTTACTGCACATCATTCACATATTTGTAAAGATGTCCAAAAACCAGCAGGAAATGGGTTTAAAGACATTCTGGGAAGATTTCCCCCCATTTTCTTGCTTTTGCGCTTCCCAGTGTATTCTGAGACTTATGTAACAGTGTTTCCTGCATAAAACTCAACATTATGGGTTGAGTCATTTTGGGAAAAAATTTTCATTTAATAATTCATGGCAAATCTTTAGCCAAATAATTTACTTGATTTTATACACTGGCAATTCACCAACATGAATAATATTTTAGAGTTGTTTTGACACAAAATGTAATTTTTCCTGCGAAGTGGAAAATTTATTTTAACATGCAAAATGCTTTTTAGCATTAAAAAAATTTAAAAAAATCTCTCGTGCATCTTAATCACAAACAGCTATATATGATCGCCCCTTTCCCAATATAGGATCACATGACAAAAAAATGATGTACAGCTTATTTACTCTTTGGTTTTAACATAAAAAAAGCAAAATTATTCTTGACAGTGGTGTTGATGTTCTGTAATGGACTCGTATCTCATTTCTTCTCTGTCTTTGTCTGTCTCTCTCTCCCTCTGCAGAAAAAGCTGCTGCAGCCAATGAGGATGAAGTGCAGAAGGCTGATGTGTCGTCAACAGGCCAAAGTGTTATTGACAAAGATGCCCTTGGACCAATGATGCTGGAGGTGGGTCTGTTGTGCTGTGTTTACTAGGTTACACAGGCTCTACTGAACATGCACGAAGAAGAGCCAAGCGTGAACCATGTATGGGCCACAGAGTGATAGTGAATGCCTTTTTGTATCCGTTATAAAAAAGAGAGTTGTGTTAAGAATTTGGCTGCCATTTGATGTTTATATCTCCAAATTCCTCCATCGTGTTGCTGAATATAGAGCTCATGAGCTGACAGTTGAGAAGATGCATGTCATTTTTGGCATGAAAAACATGCTCAAGTATAATGATGTGTCTCTATGGCTATGTTCTCACTGCAAGATTTACTGCTCTGTTCTGATTTATTGCTCAGATCTGTTTTATATATATATTTTTTTTAGTTGTAGATCTAATTAACGGTTAACACTAACACTGCTGAAACTGAATAAATGTTGAAACAGTTCAAATACATTAAAACATTCAAATCTATTTTTATATAACTCTGCATCAAACATCAGATATGCTCTGATATGCCATGCTAGAAGTTTTTCATTCATTGTGTGCAAACTTGTCATATTATGCAGTGTTGGCTCAACCAGTTGCGTGATTTTGGGGCATAACTGCTGTTTTTCCAGCCAAAGGCATCACAGTCCAGTCATTATTTTTCCAGTTGTGTTTGCTAATGCTTGACGGTGAGAAAGGTTTTTTTTTAAATACATATTTATTTTTGGGTGAACTATCCCTTTAAATAACAGTTCAACTCTTTCCAGTGCAAACGAATAACTTCCGTCAGTCAGTCGAGCAGGCATGACGCCCAGCACTGAATGAATCCACCCATCCAGCCGCTCCATCTTTCTCTCACACCCTCTCCTCTTTGGGGTATTTATAGCCTCCGAGGTCCTCCGTCACCGAATCAACACGAAGCGGATGCCAAATATAGCCTGCGTGCTTGTGCGCTTGATCTCCCATCTGTTAGAAACGGCCGTAGGAAGGGACAATTCACACCCGCACGCTATAATGCACCTAATTAAAAACCACTTGTGACAAAAGGCCAGAGAGAGGGGGACTCACCCGACTGGCCTTTTCCACCCGACACCCATAACAGCCCCTCCCAGGCACGCACACTCAGCACACGCACTCGTGCACACAGACAGGCCTTGTGTAAAGCTTTCGCAGTTCTGCACGGCCCCCTGCCCCAGTCAAAAACCCCATTGTTTGGCGATGGAAGCTGAAGTGTGAGCAGCCATAGGATCCGCTAAAGCAGCTTTGTGTTCTTCGGAGTAGTGTGTGTGTGGGGATTTGTGGCCAAGCTCGCCGTGCCACCGGGTGCGTGTCTGTTTTCAGTGTCCGCACCTCGCAATGAGTTTGGACCCAGTCTCTCCTTTGTATAGGAAGTTATGCAACCTCTCACAGCGGGACAGTGAGGCCGGGCCGGGCCACCCAGCTCCATTCATGTTGCAATACACGTCCATCAGCATATTTTACAGAGTTGCATAATTTTGGCTAAATAAAGGTGGATTTGGCATTCCTCCGTGTTTACTCTGCGATGTTTGCTGAATGTGCCCACCAGATGGCCACATCTAGAGCAGTGCACAAACAGGGGCTTGTCTTTTTTTCGCTCACTCCCTCTCTCCTTTTCCATCCCTCGCTTTATCTGCTCTCTGGAGTATGTTTGTTCTTAGCTTCTCTTGAGTGTTTTATTTTTTTTCACGCCTGAGTGTTTGTGAAATAATTCTCTCCGTTAGGAAGAGGCGCTGTGTTTGTTTTGCTGATAAAAAGATTTAGAGCTTATTACGCTCCGCCGCAGATTAAAGAATGATTTCCGAGCTGCTGCTCCACATTCTAAAGCAAACAGCAGCTTTTATAGCGATCGCTATAGGCCCTCAGGGGCCCGACTGCATTCAGAGGCCTAATTGACACCGTCTTGATAGGTAATGCTTGACTTAAGGCTGTGTTCTTTCAATTAAGACTCGTCAATATCATTTCTGTCACACGCTATGAAGCGCTGAGATTCAGAAGAGCTCGTTTATTCCCGACACAAGCAGGCAAGAAAGTTAATCTTCATACAAAATGAACACATTAAAGATTGCATGGACACTTTCACCGCAGATTCCGATAACTAGAAATGTATGTAACTGAAGACTGAGGATTAGAGGTAGATTGATATATCGATTTTACTGATAAATTGTTTGTATTATGTAACTATTTTTTAATCTATTACATAATTACAAAACGTTCACTATTTAACTTTGAGTGGAAGTGTCCAATATTATTAATTTCTTTTTAAAAACTCTACTTTTTGAGCAGCAAATCAGCATATTAGAATGATTTGTGAAGGATCGTGTGACACTAAAGACAGGAGTAATAGCTGCTGAAAATTCAGCTTTGCATCACAGGAATAAATTACATTTTAAACTCTTATTAAAATAAAAAGCATTTTAAATTTTATTAAATTGTCATATTTGTCTGTATTACTGTTTTTGCTGTGTTTTTGATCAAATAAATACAGCCTTGGTGAGCACAGGAGACTTCTTTCAAAAACAAAAAAATCTTACAGACTCCAGACTTTTGAGCTGTATCTAATATTAACAATTAACAATTATTAAATTATTAACTATATATACATATATATATATATATATATATGTTAATAATGGTTATAATACAATAAAATATGTAACACATGTGTCTGGGATTGCATGTAGAAACAGAAAAAAACTGAGACGAACTAAATCCAGAAGATCTGTGGCAACGTCTCTAAGACGCTTCAAGAAACCTTTCTGCAAAGCTACAATACTGTGCAAAGTTTTAGGCACTTGTGTAAAAATACTGTAAAGTGAGGATGCTTTCAAAAATAATGTCACAAATAGATTTTATTTAACAATTAAATTCTATTAACTAAATCAAATCAACATTTGGTATGGTCACCCTTTACATTTAAAACAGCTTTTGTCCTTGGTACACTTGCGTATAGTTTTTCAGGTATCTTTGCAGGTAGGTTTCTTCAATTGTTTTGGAGACGTTGCCACAGTTCTTCAGGTTTTAGTCTCTCTCTTTTCGGTTTCTTCATGTAATCCCAGACGGACTGGATGATGGTGAGATCAGATCTCTGTGTGGAGCACTGGCTGCTGTCAGACTCCTTGTGCATACAAAAATCTCACTGCATTATTCCAATTAATAGCAAAATAAATGTTTATAAATGTAAACTGATATGTGACCCTGGACCACAAAACCAGTCATAAGTGTAATTTTTTTCAAAATTGAGATCTATACATCACCTGAAAGGTGAATAAATAAGCTTTCCATTGATGTATGGTTTGTTAGGATAGGACAATATTTGGCAGAGATACAACTATTTGAAAATCTGGAATCTGAGGGTGCAAAAAAATGAAAATACTGAGAAAATCGCCTTTAAAGTTGTCCAAATGAAGTTCTTAGCAATGCATATTACTAATCAAAAATAAAGTTTTAATATATTTATGGTAGGAAATTTACTAAATGTCTTCATGGAACATGGACTTTTTGCTTAATATCCTAATGATTTTTGGCATAAAAGAAAAATCGATAATTTTGACCCATACAATGTATTTTTGGCTATTGCTACAAATATACCCCAGCGACTTAAGACTGGTTTTGTGGTCCAGGGTTACATATTTCCTACTGACTCATTACAGCAAAAGATTGAAATAACTGACTTAAAACCATTTTTTGTTGGTGAAAATACTAGTGGCCTAAGACTTTTGCACAGTAGTGTGTATATATATTAACATATCCCTATTTAAGACACCTTCAGTGCACCCGTCAGGAGATGTGACACAAGTATGCACTCTAATAAAGCCGTAGCCTGTAATCTGCATTTAAAATAAGGGAAAACAGTTGCTCCACTTCCCCTGTCTGCCTGCCTGACAGTATCGCTTTGAGAGCAAGCCTGTGAAAATAACCTCCTATCTGCAACTGATGAGATCTTCTTGTTTTCTTGCAGCTAATTACTTCATTATGGTTTACCTGAATTAAGATCATTACATTCAGCCTGTTGTTGCTCAAAAACCACTCAATCAATCTTAAGGCCATGAATTCAGACGCATGCCGTAATCCCCTTGACTTCACTTGATATGTTGTTTGGAGAGTCTACAAGGGCTCCTAGCTTTTCTGGACGGCTTTTTGTTTGGTTTCTGCTGGTTATCACATCTTCCCTATTGAATGGTTACGCTTTTAGATGGAGCAAGGATGTGTGCTTTATGTCTGCTTATGCTCTTCATATGATAATATTGGTGTTAGCTGCGCATCTGTGCTCACAGTACTAATAGTCTGTGTTTTTCTCCTCCAGGCCTTAGATGGGTTCTTCTTTGTGGTGAACATGGAGGGGAACATCGTGTTTGTGTCAGAGAACGTAACGCAGTACCTGCGGTATAATCAGGAAGAGCTGATGAACACCAGTGTTTACAGCATCCTGCATGTAGGAGACCATAATGAATTCATCAAAAACCTCCTGCCCAAGTCACATGGTGAGAATTTTCCATTCATTGTCTCCTTCCCATTTAGCTATTTTCATTTCATTTGCGCTTCTAGCACCTCTTCTTTTCAGGAATGACTCATTTCTCAACACTCAAGTGTAGCATCACTAGAGCAGTTACAATTTCCACCCTGTAATCATATTAATCAGATTGAGCATTAATAACTGGGATGTACAGAGAGGAATATCAGAATCTCCTCCTCCCTCAGGAGGGGAAGGTCACTTGAATAGGTGAAAGAGAGAAAGGACTCATGCCTAGAAACCATGTCATTATTGGTTTAAATTATATATTTATCCAGAAAACACACTCATTGGTTATGGGTCCCATTCATAGTGAAATCCAGTTCTACTTCACATAGCTGTCAAGTCAAGTCACCTTTATTTATATAGCGCTTTTAACAATACAGATTGTGTCAAAGCAACTGAACAGCATTAATTAGGAAAATAGTGTGTCAATAATGCAAAATGACAATAGTAAACATTCATTTTTCAGTTCATCATTGAATTCAGTGATGTCATCATCCAGCTCAGTTCAGTATAAATAGTATCTTTGCAATCATTTGCAATCAAGTCAACGATAACGCTGGAAATGAAGTGTCCCCAACTAAGCAAGCCAGAATTACATTTTATCATTTTGCAGACGCTTTTATCCACAGCGACTCAGTCTAACGACTTGGTCTAAGTGAAGTCTAACGCAGTACATGTAGCAAGGGTTTTTGGCCTACATTACATATCTACACGATGACCTACATTACAATGTAAAAACTTTAATGTCTAAATTCATCCGCGATGTTTCGTCTATAACGGCAACTTCAAAGCTTTATTTCATTATTTATTTTTTGAATAGCCTGCAATTCATATATTATCGCCAGGACGCAACAAGCAACATGATGTAACATGACTGATATGCAGACATTGCATTATAAATAGCTAATTATTAAGATATACTTCACTCTATCAGAGTTAGCCTAAATGTCTTTTTGATTCTATCCGTCATTTAATTGGGGATATTAGATTACTGCCGATCCATTTTGTTTACTTAGATTTTATATTATTCTAATATAGCTAGAGAGAGAGAGAGAGAGCGAGATCGATAGGAATGGATGGTTTATGTCTTTAGCCATTTATAACTGGTCTATCTATCTCCAGGGATTTCACTTGCATATAGGCCTAACACACAAAAAAGAAATGGTCATCTTTGTGTTAATATGCCTTGTCCCGTGTGTGTATTTATTTGCTGGACATGGGATTAACTGTAAAACCCCGATATAACCCGGGATAACGGGTCTGTCGGCTATACGGAACCCCGACTGACAGGATTGGTTTCCTTCTTTTTATTTGTATATGGTATAAAAATTATGTCCGCATATTTTAGTAGGCCTATAACTATTTTTATACTCTGTCACGTATAGCACAGAGAGTGAGAACGAAAAATAATATTTGATTCATGAACGAATTTTTGACAGAACTATCTAACTATCTTGACTTGACTATCAGAGGAAAAAATAAAGACGATAGTTACACCCCATTTTTTTTCATAAAGAACAAGCTAAATTGTAAGCATTTTGAGTTTTATTTCTAAAACGAATCAAACTAATAAAAAATAAACATAGCTTACATACCCTTTCATTCAAAACGCCATCATTGCTCAAATAAAGTTTGAATACA